TGACGACAAATAACTATGTTGTAGTAAAAATAACATCTTAATTTTATGATGGTACATGCACACAATTAATACCTAAGAGAAATAGAGAAATACAGTCGCCAAGTTAATGTCCATTCAAATAATGGACTCGACTCCCTCCCCCTCTTCTCACACTACACTCACTGGCTCTTCCCTCTGAGAAATTTTTGGGGGAAAACCAGGTATAGTAATAAATAATTCCTCAAACTAAAGTTAGGATAATATAATTGACATTGCTGGATTCCTTGTAAGACCAGGAATATTTTGAATATAAATGTCATATATTTTTCACAAAAGATAACATATTTACTCAGAATAAACTTTACATCTAAAATTTGTATGTCTAATGCAAAATCTATGATGTTTATATTCAAAATGATCAGCAAATTGTAAGAATTCCAGCAATGTAAATTATATTCTGGCCGGATAATTTGTATGAATTTTATGAGCTAAAACAAATATCTTCAGTTAATAAAAAAAAAAAAATATTCTTCGACACTATCTGTCAATCAAAGTACCCCACCTTGCCTTCCCCCCCCTCTTCCAACCGCGTGGTCAGTCCCAACCCTCCCCCCACCCCCCACCAATCCTCCCTTCCAGAGTTTATAACATTTAGTATTAAATAATACCTCAGATTAAAGTTAGGATAATATAATTGACATTGCTGGATTCCTTGTAAGACCAGGAATATTTTGAATATAAATGTCATATATTTTGGACAAAAGATAACATAATTACCTCGAGAACAATTTTTATCTAAAAATTGTATGTTTAATGCAAAATATATGTTGTTTATATTCAAAATGATCACCAAATTATAAGAATTCCAGCAATGTAAATTATATTCTGACCGGGTAATTTGTATGAATTTTATGAGCTAAAACAAATATCTTCAGTTAATAAAAAAAAAAATAATTCTTCACGGGTAACAGATGGTCGGTCGGTCGGTCCCTCCCTCCCCCCCACCCCCACCAACCGTCCCAAGGAGATGTGTGGGATAACCACTAAATTTTAATAAATAATACCTCAAACTAAAGTTAGGATAGTATAATTGACATTGCTGGATTCCTTGTAAGACCAGGAATATTTTGAATATAAATGTCATATATTTTGGACAAAAGATAACATAATTACCTAGAGAACAATTTTTATCTAAAAATTGTATGTTTAATGCAAATATATGTTGTTTATATTCAAAATGATCACCAAATTATAAGAATTCCAGCAATGTAAATTATATTCTGGCTGGGTAATTTGTATGAATTTTATGAGCTAAAACAGGCAGTCAGGCAGGGTGGCGGGTGGGGGGTGGTGCGAATCTAAAAATAGCTCTCGAGCCGGACACTCACCGCGTATATGATGAAAAATGCCGCGTTAAGTGAAAGTTCAGCTTTGGCAAGGCACCGCGTATATGCGAAACGCTATATGAAAGCGCTGTTAAGCGGGTAAAACTGATGTTACAAGAATCCCAGCAATGTTAATTATATTCACCCAGGTCATTTCACTGGCTTTTTATAAGAGAGAAGCTTAGTCACCTAAGAACTGATAAATATACACGTGTTAGACCTGGGCCTGTGCCAACTGTCAAACGTATTACCTCCCCTCCCCCCACGCCCCCTCGCTCGCCCATCTGTTCGGCGTTGCTGGAATCCTTGTAAAACAGTGAATAATTTTAATATAAACGTCATGTATTTTGCACAAGAGATAAAAATTAATCACCTGTATCACATTAAAGTAGTGATTTAAGAGTAAAAGTGTATATGTACGTATATAGTATTCCACATACACGTAAGTATAAATACAAAGTTTATGTGATGGTCGGACAACGTCCATTTCGGTTAACGTCACGTTTCCAATAACATATCTAGGACGTTAACCGGTGCATGACTGTATGTACATACGGTACAGTAGTTTTTTTATGAGGATCTAAAAATAAAATTCTAATTTTCAGCTTATGATATAAAGTAAACAAAGAAACAGATTTTCTATATTATAATATGTTGTGCATGCCAATGTTTGCAGTTTGAATATAATTTGCCTTCTGCGATTAATGTGTCAAAGTAAACAACTTTCTATGTAGGCTTATCCATTATACAGTATGTTAACTATTGAATTATTTTTTTTTTTAATGTCTCATAAAATTTTGGAAGGGCTAATAAACATTGGGAAGGGCTTGTAACTATTGAGTTCTATTTGCTCGGCTGGCTACCTGAAAAAAGGCATATTTCTACCCCTGGCTTAGGTCAGAGCCTGTAGTGGCCACAACCATCTTCCACCACATACAGTACTGTAGTAGCCACAACCCTCTTCCACTACATACAGTACTGTAGTGGCCACAACCATCTTCCACTACATACAGTACTGTAGTGGCCACAACCATCTTTCACTACATACAGTACTGTAGTAGCCACAACCATCTTCCACTACATACAGTACTGTAGTGGCCACAACCATCTTCCACTACATACAGTACTGTAGTGGCCACAACCATCTTCCACTACATACAGTACTGTAGTGGTCACAACCATCTTCCACTACATACAGTACTGTACTGTAGTGGCCACAACCATCTTCCACTACATACAGTACTGTAGTGTGCAAACCATCTTCCACTATACACAGTACAGTGGTCACAACCATCTTCCACTACATACAGCACTGTAGTGGCCACAACCATCTTCCACTACATACAGTACTGTAGTGGTCAAGCAACCATCTTTCCACTTTCACATATACAGTACTGTAGTGGTCACAACCATCTTCCACTACATACAGTACTGTAGTGGCTGCAAACATCTTCCACTACATACAGCACTGTAGTGGCCACAACCATCTTCCACTACATACAGTACTGTAGTGGCCACAACCATCTTTCCACTAGCATACAGTACTGTAGTACCACAACCATCTTCCACTACATACAGCACCTCGTAGTGGCCACAACCATCTCCACTACATACAGTACTGTAGTACTGTCTTTCCACTACATACAGTAGTAGTGGCCATCTTCCATACATTCCACTACATACAGCACTGTAGTGTACAACCATCTTCCACATACATACAGCACTGTAGTGGCCACAACCACATCTTCCACTACATACAGTACTGTAGTGGCCACAACCATCTTCCACTAGCATACAGCACTGTAGTGGCTACAACCATCTTCCAATACATACAGTACTGTAGTGGTCACAACCATCTTCCACTACATACAGTACTGTAGTGGTCACAACCATCTTCCACTACATACACAGTACTGTAGTGGCCACAACCATCTTCCACTACATACAGTACTGCTGTAGTACACAACCATCTCCACTACATACAGTACTGTAGTGGTCACAACCATCTTCCACTACATACAGCACTGTAGTGGCTACTAACCATCTTCCACTACATACAGTAATGTAGTGGTCACAACCATCTTCCACTACATACAGTACTGTAGTGGTCACAACCATCTTTCCACTACATACAGCATTGTAGTGGCTTAACCATCTTCCACTATATACAGCACTGTAGTGGCTAAGAATTCATCTTTTCTCCACTACATACAGTACTGTAGTGGCTACAAACTATCTTCTTCCACTATGACATACAGTACTGTAGTGGCACAACCATCTTCTAATACATAATAGTACTGTGTAGCCAGCCAACCATCTTTCCACTTTTACATACAGTACTGTAGTGCCACAACTATCTTCTCACTACATACAGTACTGTAGTGTACACAACTATCTTCTCCATAATTACATACAGTACTGTAGAAAGTGGCCACAACCATTTTTCCATATACTAGCATACAGTACTGTAGTGGCCACAACCATTTTCCCACTACATACAGTACTGTAGTGGCTACACAACTATTTTTCCACTACATACAGTACTGTAGTGGCTAATAACCATCTTTCTCCACTACATACAGTACTGTAGTGGCCACAACTATTTCCACTCACATACAGTGTACTGTAGTGGCCACAAACCATTTTCCACTTATATACAGTACTGTAGTGGCTACAACCATTTCCACTACATACAGCACTGTAGTGGCCACAACCATCTTTCCACTTTCACATACAGCACTGTGTGCCACAACCATCTTTCCACTACATACAGTACTGTAGTGGCCACAAACCATCTTCCACTACATACAGTACTATAGTGGCCACAAACTATCTTCACCATACAGTACTGTAGTGGCCACAACCATCTTTCAATACATACAGCCTGTAGTGGCCACAACCATTTTCCACTACATACAGCACCGTGAGTGGCCACAACCATCTTCCACTACATACAGTACTGTAGGCTACAACCATCTTTCTCCACTACATGTAGTGTACTGTATACACAACCATCTTCCACTACATACAGTACCGTGAGGCTACAACCATCTTCCCACTACATAAGTACTGTAATGCATACAACCATCTTCCACTACATACAGTACTGTAGTGGCTATTAACTATCTTCCACTACATACCGCATCAGTGGCTACAACCATCTTCCACTACATACAATACTGTAGTGGCCACAAACTATCTTGTTCATATATATTACTGTAGTGGCCAGCAACCATCTTCCACTACATACAATACTGTAGTGGCTATTGAACCATCTTCCACTACATATTAGCACTGTAGTGGTCTACAACCATTTTCCTCTACTACATAAGTACTGTAGTACACAACCATTTTCCACTACAATACTGTAGTGGCCAGAATCAATAATACACCCAGAGCAGTATTCATTGTGAGGTATAGTACAGTCTCTCGTCTGTTATAAACCGCTGTATACTTTCCTCTCCTCTCATTCACTTTGTTCTTTTTGTTAATTGGCTACTGTACAGTGTTATACTGTGTTAATTGCCTTCATGTAGTTGTAATTTATCTTGGAGCAGATAAACGATCTGGTAATACCTGATGATTAAAACCTGACAGTATCTGTAATGTGATCTATTTTAATTATTATTTTTACAGATGACAGGATTATTGAGTATGATGTTGACAAGCTTGTGTGTGAAGAACGTACAGATTTTCAGAAGGTAGAGATCTACCATACCAAGAGCTTTGGTAACATGCTGGTCCTGGACGACCTTCAGAGTAAGTGACCTAGTAATACTGTACTGTACATGATTTAAATATTGCTCAAGGAAACGATACATTAGGGTGTCGTAACAGCACAGCTTGAGCAGCAGTGCTCTCACCATCTGCTAACTGGTCACCATCACTCTCTCAACATCTGGTCACCTTCACTCTCTCAACATCTGGTCACCTTCACTCTCTCAACATCTGGTCACCTTCACTCTCTCAACATCTGGTCCCCAACTGACACTGGTGGCCCACACACCCCAGCTAACTACCAGTGGCACACACTCCCCCAGCTGATGCCCAGTGGTCACACTCCCCAGCTGATACACCCAGTGGTACACGCTCCCCAGCTTATGCACCCAGTGTTTGCTCCCCCAGCTGATACACAGTGGCACACACTCCTCAGCTGATACGCAGTGGCCTCCTCAGCTGATACCCAGTGGCCACACTCCCCATCTGATACACCAGTGGCCCTCCCCAGCTGATACACCCGGTGTTACTCCCCAGCTGATACGCAGTGGCCACACCCCAGCTGATACACCCAGTGGCCACACTCCCCAGCTGATACACAGTGGCCACACTCCCCAGCTGATGCACCCAGTGGCCACACTCTGGCTGATACGCAGTGATACACACACTCGGCCTGATGCCCGTATTACCCAGCTGATACGCGGTGGCCACACCCCAGCTGATACGCGGTATTACACTCCCCAGCTGATACCCAGTGGCCACACACTCCCCAGCTGATACACCAAGTTTTACCTCCCCAGCTGATACAACCAGTGGCCTACCCTCCCCAGCTCGCCCAGTGGCCACGACTCCCCATGACATTCCCAGTGGCCACATTCCCCATCTGACATTCCCAATGGCCACACACTCCCCAGTTGATACCCAGTGGCCACATTCCTGACATTCCCAGTGGTCACACACTCCATCGCTGACACTCCCCATGGCCTACGCTCCCTTTGACATTCCCAGGTGGCCACACTCCCTGCTTGACATTCCCAGTGGCCTCACTCTCCCAGCTGACACACACAGTGGCCACACTTGCCTCACTCTCCTCAGCTGAAACTCACAGTGGCCACCTGCCTCACTTTCCCAGCCCAGCTCTCACGAGTGGCCACCTCCCCTCACTTCCCAGCTGACACTCAGTGGCCACACCTGCCGCTTTCCCCAGCTGACACTGTGGCCACACCCTCACTTTCCCCAGCTGACACTGTGGCTGCCTCTCTCCCCAGCTGACACACACAGTGGCCACACTTGCCTCCTCTCCTCAGCTGACACTCACAGTGTGGCACTCCCCAGCTGACTCTCTCAGTGACCACCTGCCTCACTCTTCCCAGCTGACACTCATTGTCACACCTGCCTCACTCTTCCAGCTGACACTCAGTGGCCACCTGCCTGACTCTTCCCAGCTGACACTCAGTGGCCACACCTTCCTGACTCTTCCCAGCTGACACTCAGTGGCCACCTGCCTGACTTTCCCAGCTGACTCTCAGTGGTCACACCTGCCTCACTTCCCAGCTGAGCACTCACAGTGTTTGCCTGCCTCACTCTCCCCAGCTGACACTCAGTGGTCACACCTGCTGACACTCTCAGTGGCCCAAGCTCTCCCAAACTGACACTCCCAGTGGCTGGATCCCAGCTGACACTCCCAGTGGCCAAGCACTCCCAGCTGACACTGCCAGCCACACTCCGTAACTGGCTCTCAGTTGCTTCACTCCCAGCTGACACTACCAGTGGCCAGACTCCCCAGCTGACACTACTAGTGGCCAGACTTCCCAGCTAATACTACTGGTGGCCACACTCCCAGCTGACACTCCCAGTGGCCACACTCCCAGATGATATTCCCAGTGGTCACACACTCCAGCTGACACTCCCAGTGGCCACACTCCCCAGCTGACCTCCCAGTGGCCACACTCCCCAGCTGACACTTCCATTAGCCACACTCACCAGCTGACACTTAGTGGCACACACTCCCAGCTGATACACCCAGTGGCTAAATTCCCCAGCTGACACTACCAGTGACCACACACTCCGCTAGCTGTACCCAGTGGCCACACACCCAGCTGACATTCCCAGTGGTCACCACCCCCAGTTGACACTCACAGCGGCCACACCTGCCTCAATTCCCAGTTGACATTCAAATTGGCCACACCTGCCTCACTCCTAAGCTGACATTCACAGTGGCCAAACCTGCCTCACTCCCCGTTGACATTCACAGTGGCCACACCTGCCTCACTCCCCAGCTGACACTCCAGTGGCCACCCTGCCTCACTCCTTAGCTGACATCCACAGTGGCCACACCTGCCTCACTCCTTAGCTGACACTCACTGGCCACACCTGCCTCACTCCCAGTTGACATTCACAGTGGGCACACCTGCCTCACTCCCCAGCAGCTGACACTCAGTGGCCACACCTGCCTCACTCCTTAGCTGACATCCACAGTGGCCACACCTGCCTCCTCCTTAGCTGACATCCACAGTGGCCACACCTGCCTCACTCCCAGTTGACATTCACAGTGGGCACACCTGCCTCCTCCCAGCCTGACACTCAGTGGCCACACCTGCCTCACTCCTTAGCTGACATCCACAGTGGCCACACCTGCCTCACTCCTTAGCTGACATCCACAGTGGCCACCTGCCTCACTCCCAGTTGACATTCACAGTGGGCACACCTGCCTCACTCCCCCAGCGACACTCAGTGGCCACACCTGCCTCACTCCTTAGCTGACATCCACAGTGGCCACCTGCCTCACTCCTTAGCTGACACTCAGTGGCCACCTGCCTCACTCCCAGTTGACATTCACAGTGGCCACACCTGCCTCGCTCCTTTTTTTTTTTTTTTTTTTTTTTTTAACAGGAATTAGCCCACCCGGGCACAGGTCAACGACCCAGGCGGAGCCTGGGGGAACAAAAAGCGGAAGAATTTGTAAATACAGGGAGTTCTGCCATAACGCGTGTTTTGACAACGTGAATTGGCTCTACTTGCGATTGATGAATAGAGGGAATATTTTGAATGCACACTTCATATATTTTGCACAAAAGATAAAATATTTGCTTTGTGTAAACCAAATTATTACATCAGATCTAAAATTTTTATGTCTAATGCAAAATCCATGATGTTTATATTCAAAATGATCATCATATTGTAAGAATTCCAGCTATGTAAATTATATTCTGGCGGGTAATTTGTATGAATTTTATGAGCTAAATAAAAATATACTTCACCGGCGTATATGAGTAGATGCACCACGTGAAATGAAATTCAGGTTCTGGCTAGGTACCGCTGTAAATGTAGAATCACGTAGTGAAACGCATAATCGGGGTATTCTGTGTATAGAAAAAAGGTTATACTGTATTAATCTACACCACTAAGATTCCGGAAAACCAGCTTTTAAAGTGAGACAGATTGTGGAAATGTAAACACAGAAGAAAGCAGAGCATTCCACAGTTTGGGTGTGTGAGGAAAGAAGGAGGTACTATAACGGGTTATTCTCGTTATGACCGACATCCACAGAAAGCGGTTGGACACCGCAGGCAAGATTGTATTCTGAGCCACGACGCTTGCCGGCAGTACACAGGATGCCAAATCCACCTAACATTGCCGTTAAAGTACCTGTAAAAAGTGAAACATTGCGTGAAGAATAAGATTGCGACTAAAGGAGGAGAGTTAAAAGATGAAATGCCTTTGATTCCACCCTATCTAATAGTCGGACAGAAGAAGAGCCACCCAGATATGAGCAGTACTCCAAGTTGGAACCAATGAGATCATATATACTTGGAGCAACTGCTCAGGGAGTGAAGTAATCGGCATTCCCAACTTTCAGGGGCAGCTTTAGTTATATTAGGATGTGTGACATTCACAGTGGCCACACCTGCCTCACTCCTTAGCTGACATTCACAGTGGCCACGCCTGCCTCACTCCCCAGCTGACATTCACAGTGGACACACCTGTTTCACTCTCCAGCTGACATTCACAGTGGCCACATCTGCCTCACTCCCCAGCTGACATTCACAGTGGCCACACCTGCCTCGCTCCCCAGCTGTCACTCAGTGGCCACACCTGCCTCACTCCCCAGCTGAACACTCACAATGGCCACACCTGTTTCACTCTCCAGCTGACATTCTCAGTGCCACATCTGCCTCACTCTCCAGCTGACATTCACAGTGGCCATCTGCCTCACTCCAGCTGACATTCACAGTGGCCCACTGCCTCGCTCCCCCAGCTGTCACTCAGTGGCCACACCTGCCTCACTCCCCAGCTGGCCTCTGGCCAGCCACACCTGCCTCCTCCCCAGCTGACATTCACAGTGGCCACATCTGCCTCACCCCAGCTGACATTCACAGTGGTCACACCTGCCTCACTCCCCAGCTGACACTCAGTGGCCACACCTGCCCCACTCCCAGCTGGCACTCTGGCAAGCCACACCTGCCTCACTCCCCAGCTGACATTCACAGTGGCCACATCTGCCTTACTCCTTAGCGGCATTCAGGTGGCCACATCTGCCTTACTCCTTAGCTGACATTCACAGTGGCCACATCTGCCTCACTCCCCAGCTAGCTCTCCCCCCTACCCCTGGCCCTCCTCCCCTACCCCTGGCCCGACTCCTGCACCCCCTTGACCCAGTTGGCCTCCACCGCTCTCTCTTACTATCTCAGTCTGCCACTACACAGAGCTTTACCATATTGTACTCTTGCACCATTGACCATAGTGTGCACTACACAGAGCTTTGCCATATTGTACTCTTGCACCATTGACCATAGTGTGCACTACACAGAGCTTTACCATATTGTACTCTTGCATTGATGACCATAGTGTGGACTCTTAGCCACTCTTGACTAGTCGACCGAGGGTTCACTTACAAGAAAATGGCATTATTTTAAGTAGCCATTGATTAATAAAATGTAAATAAAAAGTCACAAAATATCCTAAGGTCCCTGTATACAGTAGTGATAACTCTCTTAGCCAGAACAATTGGTGCAGAGCACTTCTGGGAATGACAGATTTCGAACGAGACGACTCTCAAAGCTGGAAAAAATCCATCATCACCAGAATTTTCCAAGTAACGAAAAAATGTTTTTGGAAGTTCCAGAAATTGCCCATTACATCATCTCTTAAACCCGGAAAAGTATCCCCATCCCGGAATTTTCCAGGCAGTCAGTTCTGCTATAACGCGATAGTTGTGTTCTTGTAAAACCTCGCGTTGTAGAAATTCGCATAATAGAAATACGTAACAGGGCTTATGGAGAAAATAGGGTTAGGTGCAGATTACTCGAAAATAAAAAAAAATTAGTAGTTAGCCTAACACAAAGGATAGCACAGTCTGAATAAATGTTACATTCATATCTAATAATGAAATCATACAGTAAATGTAACACTTTACCTTGAAAAAATATGAATATAACATGATGGGGGGAGGAGAAGGGTGATTTTGAGGTTGATAACATCAAGCTTCTCTTCAAGTGTTATAACCTTTCTTTTACGACCACCACCGGGAATGCTATCACCAGAACGCTTCTTGGAGATATTCTTCTTTTCCATATTCACAGTTTAAACCACAAAATTGGAGAAATAGTAAGCAAAAATCACTGAGGACTCTTCAAAACAACCCCGCGGCGTTTCAACTGATCGTGTGATGGAAACAGAGGCCTTGGGTGTAAATGCTATTAGTCCACTTTCTGGCTTATTATTTTTATTTATTTATTTTTTTCATACGGTATTTATGGGAACAGCTAAATTTGCAAAAAAGGATGAAATTTATAGTCCCTATCAAATAACACTTCACAAACAAAACACAAGAATCAATTGAACATGTGATGTCGAACATGAACTGTAACACTGCATAACCCCGCATGGCGACAGTACACTTAAAACGTTCAAGTGGAATCGCGTTACAGCCAACACGCGTTCGCGTTTTACAAATATTGTCCTTCTATTCATCAATCGCGTTACAGCCAATTCACGTTGACAAAACACGCATTATAGCAGAACTGACTGTATTGGGAAAATTTTATCTGAATTTTCTGGAAGGTGTGCTACTCAGAAAATTCTTTCCAAAGCTGAAATTTTTCGGAAAATTTAATTCCAGCTATCGGAGAGTTCCAGGTTTGAGGCATTCCGGCTAATGGAGACATTACTACTCTTTACTGTTTCTTATTTCAGTTTTATTTTATTAATTTGAATTTTCCTTTACTGTACTTTACCAGTGGTGTCTCTCACGTCACAGAGGCTCAACTGCTTTATCCCCTCGGGTTAGTAATGAGTTAAGAGCTAACCCCCATTCCCAAGTATCATCTAACACTGAAAGGTGTAAGTACAAATGGTGTAGGAAGGTCAATAACACATTGAGGTTATCAAAGTAATAATAAAATACACAACTGTATTGGTGAGGCTCTGTGGGATTCACTTCACCAAACACACTGTAGTTCTCTCACCCTGCACTATATTTCAAGCCTTTAACCAACTACACTAACAACACTACCTTCTCACAAGTTCACCTCCCTAAGGTTATCAACACACTGAATGGCTCACACCTTAATTTCACACCGGTATTGTGGCTCTTTGGTGTACAGCTCTAGAGCCCACTGTGATGATGGTGGCGGGGAACGGCAGGTGATAACTGTATAAACGATCTGGAATTTACCAGATCGTTTATACAGTTACCACCTGCCATTCACCGCCATCTTCATCACAGTGGGCGGTGTTGTCCATGTCATCAACTGGTGCTCCAGCATTTGCTTGCTGGTATTCTGCTTCGGATCACATTCTATATTGCAGTAGGAGACCGAGTGTGCTAACCATTGCCAAGCTTGTATGGTTGTGAGCCATGTAGGTCGCCTACATTCTCAACGATATTTCGAACCATAATGGTGGACACATTGGTTTACTCCTTGCTCCCTTTACATGAATCAATGATCTCCTAAATCCTGTCACCAAAACTTTGTCTCTTAACAGCCCAACAATCAAACAGTTAAAATGTTATTACTAAGTATATGAATATGGAATGAATTATGGGACCGTAACATGTCCCTAACCCCATTTACCCGTAAGTTTGAGCATTAACACAGACATTTACTTTACTTTCCAGCAACATACTCACTGGCATGTGAGGTCCACCTATACTCTATAAATGAGTTTTATTTGGTTGTATCTTTTGTATCGTACATTTAACAGATCTTGCGGAGAGTGACCTGCCTTACACTCACGGCCTTATGAACAAAGGAAATGAGAAATATGAAGAAAAAGAAATACTTATTCTGGGTGGAGGAGATGGAGCCCTACTCTGGGAGTTACTTAAGAAAGCCAAAATTTGTGACCATGATTGATGTAAGTTTTCATATCTACATTATTTGAAGAAACTTTGAAATACTGTATAGCTTAATGGATAAACTTTCTGCTTTTTTGGTAGTTTTAACAACAAATTGGTTTGCATTGCTTTTAATTGGACGATTATGAAAATCTTTGTCATTATATTGATATTTATTAGTTTGACATATTTAGTGGAAGATTATTCCATTTGTCTTCTACTTACTGTATTTACAAACTGATATTCAGTATAGTCTCGATTTACAGTTCCTTTACGCGATTGGCCATTTACATGGCACCTGGCCAACCGGCAATTCTTATGAATTCGTGGTACATTCCATCATTTCGGCGAGCGGCACGGGCAGAGGTCTTTTAGTTAGCCAGTCAACAAAACATTACCGAGTTCTTCACCTGCTACCCACCACAGCCAGCCCAAGTCATTGATAGTGAGGATATGGACTTTGAGGGTTTGACAAGGAGGCCCTGCAAGCCTCTGTGGTGGATAGTGATACAGGTGAGGGCCAATAATCTGCCTTCTGCCTCGGAACCAAACCCCCATCCCCGTGTGCTCAGCCATCTCTTCTACTAACGTAAGTGTTAAAAAACCTAATATTATTGATATTTCTCTTAAATATTAATTGCGTGTGCATACCATCATAAAATTAAGATGTTATTTTTACTACAACGTATGTATTGTGTTGAAAAAAGGGTAGTCTGGGGATGGGCCCAGTCTCTATTTCAATTACAGTAGTACCCCGCGGTCAATTGAACCCACAGGGTACCGTGTTAAGTGAAAACCGCGTTAAGTGAACAACAGAACATATGGGATTAATTCCAATAGAGACTGGCCGGACCCCCAAACTCTACTTTTTCCGACACAATACCTATGTTCTAGTAAAAGTAACATCTTAATTTTATGATGGTACATGCACACAATTATCTAAGAGAAATAGAAAATACAGTCGCCAGGTTAATGTCCATTCAAATAATGGACTCCCCCCTTCCCTCTTCTCACACTACACTCACTGGCTCTTCCCTCTCTGAAATTTTTGGGAAAACCACTAAATTTTAATAAATAATACCTCAAACTAAAGTTAGGATAATATAATTGATATTGCTGGATTCCTTTAAGACCAGGAATATTTTGAATATAAATGTCATATATTTTGCACAAAAGATAACATATTTACTCAAGTAACATTATATCTAAAATTTGTATGTCTAATAAAAATCTATGATGTTTATATTCAAAATGATCATCAAATTGTAAGAATTCAGCAATGTAAATTATATTCTGGCAGGAGTAATTTGTATGAATTTTATGAGCTAAAACAAATATCTTCAGTTAATAAAAAATAATATTCTGCACACACTATCTGTCAATCTAAGTACCCCACCTTGCCTCCCCCCCTCTTCAACCCGCCAGGTGGTCTGTCTGTCAACCCTCCCCCACCCCCACCAATCCTCCTTCAAGAGATGTTGGGTGAAAAAACTAAATTTTAACATTTAGTATTAAATGATAGCTCAGATTAAAGTTAGGATAATATAATTGACATTGCTGGATTCCTTGTAAGACCAGGAATATTTTGATTAAAAATGTCATATATTTTGCACAAAAGATAACATATTTACTCAGAGTAGACATTATATCTAAAATTTGTATGTCTAATGCAAAATCTATGACGTTTATATTCAAAATGATCATCAAATTGTAAGAATTCCAGCAATGTAAATTATATTCTGACCGGGTAATTTGTATGAATTTTATGAGCTAAAACAAATATCTTCAGTTAATAAAAAAATATATATTTCACACATTTAACAAATGGTCATCGGTCCTCCCTCCCCCACCTCCCACCAACCCTCCTACCAGATGTGTGGGAAAACCAGAATATTTACCTTTTAGTAATAAATAATACCTCAAACTAAAGTTAGGATAATATAATTGACATTGCTGGATTCCTTGTAAGACCAGGAATATTTTGAATAAATGATATATATTTTGCACAAAAATAAACATATTTACTCAGAGTAAACATTATATCTAAAATTTGTATGTCTAATGCAAAATCTATGATGTTTATATTCAAAATGATCATCATATTGTGAATTCCAGTAATGTAAATTACATTCTGGCGGGTAATTTGTATGAATTTTATGAGCTAAAACAGGCAGGCAGGTAGGCGGGTAGGGAATCTAAAATAGTGTCTCGGCGGACACTCTGCCAAGCGTCTCAGGCGGACTCTTCCACCTGCGTGGAAAAAACCGTGTTAAGTGAGGTGGCTCTGGCGAGGCACATATCGTGAAGTGCGCTAAAGCGAAACGCGTTAGCGAGGTATTGTAATCCCATATGTTCTGTATTTCGTTCGTTTTCGTTTTCTGCTGAGACCTCCAGGTTAATTGACGCATAAGCGAGACTATACTGAACAGTGAGTCCTGCATCGCGTCGTCCGCTTAATGTTGTTTTATTACGTCGTTGAACTTTATAGACCAAAAAGTGGCAATGATTTTCTGTATATGTAACGTTTTTCATGGGGCAAGAGGCTGGGGAACGTAACTCCCGTATTTTGTCTATTTCTTATGGGGAAAATTGATCCTTCGTTGTTTACATTATAGCGTCACGTTTTCACGAACATAACCCGGCGTTAAGCGAGGACGCCCTGTATGATAATTAACTATGTGCATGTTGGCACTTTCAGTAACTGTGTACCTGTGCATCAGATGTTATAAATAAGTCAATCATTAACCATTAAGAGACATGGCCTACACTTTGGTAAGGTCAGGGAAAACAATTTGGCCACCAGGTAAAATGACCGTTGTGGGTCCTATAGTGGGAAATATTTTCTGTTAAGCATTATTTTTACTTGTAGATGAAGCGAAGCTGTGATGAGGTCATGTAGGAAGTATCTGAGATCTGCGTGTGGGACCTGTCTGGATAACTACAGTGGGGACAACTACAAGGTAATACAATAAGTAAACTGAAGCTTAAGTCTATATTTGTTTTTTATAATTTTATTTTTCAGTATTATTAATATTATTGTACTGAATTTGACAACTTAACTCTTATTGAGGCATTACAGTTTACAAGTAGAAATTTCCTCCTATAC